GAGGTTTTCATAACTCAGTGGGCAAGAGAATCTCCAAGGTAGCTTTTAAATGTGCTTTATCTTACTAGAAGTATTTATGCCTTCCTATTAAGGATATTTTAATGTCTGGGCCAAATATTTTATATCTTATTCTATCCTTGCTCCAAAAAAAGCATGGAGGGGCATATTACTAGGTAGGTGTTGCTCACATGGCCAACCATGGGTAGAAAATCATCTCTTTGAAATATTATTCAGTGGGAAAAGCATAGGATTTGGGATCACATATTCTGAGTTTGTCATAGCTTTCCACCTACTAGGTAAGTGATTTTAGAAAATCATTTTACACTCTAATCAACTCATGTGCAAGATGAGAAAAATAACCTAATTATTATGCAGCTGTCTCAAGGACTAGGTCAATGACTGTCATAGCCTGGTACCTGGCACGCTCTCAATCCGCATTTATTGAGTAATGAAGAAATGCATGATTGATTAATACACTTCCCACTTTTTCTGTCTCTTCTCCTGCTTTTCTTCTTCCCTATCTACTTTTCTTCAAACACATCAAACTATTTTCTGCTTCAAAGCCTAGCAGGAACTTTGTTTTATTCACCTAGATGCAAATCAAAGAGTAGTAATTGTTATTAATGCCCTCCTTCTGAACTTACTGATTCACACTTGTGAGCTGGCTTAAGTTTGAGGAGCTGAGAATGCAAAGAAGAAATGGCATGACCTAATTTCAAGGAGAATGGCACTTTTGTGCACATGAATAGATATATAATCTCAAAAATAAATGTTCTCTGCACTCATTGGAACAGATCATTAAGAAGAGTTATATTGTCATTCCCATTTCATGATAACCTCAAAAAAGTGAATTTATAACATGATGTTTTGATTACTAGTTTATAGAACAATTTTATTAAGCTGATTTCAAAGCAGTATGTTCCAAAGTGGTTTAAGTGAGGACACTAATAAAGCAGCATACTAAGCAAATAGACCAAGAGTTATCTGGTTTGCTAACGTAAACTGTTTCCTTTATCATTCTGAAGACTCTTCAAACTGTACTGTCTAATATGTTTCAGGAAATCTAAGAGTTCAAAATTCACAAGTCAAGTCAAAGGCAAAGTCATCCATCAAATGTGAGGACTTCACCTTGAATCTCAAGAGTAGTTTCAACGATTTCACTAATTTGTATTTGGTAATTAAAGCCGCAGACAATTGGGAAACGTATCAGTCTAATATTTGTCCCATTGTCTGAAGGCACTTGACAAGCTTTGTTTCTTAAGAGAGTGGGAATTTCAAAAACACAAAACAAATATTCATAGAGTCTGAAAGACAGCTGACAGATGCTGACTTACAAGTGAACAGATACCTTTGAATTGCTTCCCAGTTGCATATATTTCTTTGGTATGCAACATGAGCAGATTCTAATAGGATTACTGAATAGTCAAGAAAATCATAATATTTCAATAAAGTTAGCTCTGTTCTAAACCTATTACTGGTATCCTCTAGGAGTAATGCATAAATTAGTCTTCCCTCTTGAAAGAATAATTAGGAAAATTATTGAACAGTTAGGAAAATGCATGTAACTTTTATTGGCAACAACAAAATAGTGATTGAATAAGCAGATCAGTAAAATAAGCTTTAAGTAGTAAATATACTCTTGAAAAATTGATTTCCTTTGCCAATTTCTCACCAGTGGTAAAGTTAAATGTTCACTATTAGGACCATAATATAAGGAAAATCAAAAAGGAGGAAGGAGCTAGAGTTCAGTCGGTAATAAATATTTACTGAGCAGTTGCTGTGTCCAGAAAGACTTTTAGGGGACAGAGAGAGGTATATTTCCATTAAGCTCAAAGTCAGGTTGTGAAGAGAAACAACATAGCCAGCAAATGCCAAAGAAGTTGAAGTATTGCTGACCTGAAGTAGTTTTAAAAAAAAGTTGCTGAGGAAGAGAGAAGTGGACAATATAAAGGGAGAGCATTAGGGTAAAGAGAAAAGGGAGAATAAGGGAATCTTTGCAGACAGGTATCATCGTAGACTTCAAAGAGAACTCCAAAACTTCAATTTTCCTGCAGAGGTTCCGAGAAATGGTTGCAAAAACACGAAGGGTGGAGACATGAGAGGGCAAATGCAAGAAACATCATGTTTTGAGCCCTATGCCTTCTTTCCTTCATTTAACAAGTATTTATTGAATACCTATTACCAGGAGAGAGGAACAATTCGAGACCCTGGGTGTATGGTGATAATAAACAGCATGTCCTCATGTTTCTTCTCAGTGCAGAAAAAATAGTTAAAGAAGACACACACATACATGTGGGCGCACACACAAACAAACACACACTAAGGAAAAACTTTCAGGAAATGGAAATTAAAAAGATTTTAAAAGTTTCCATGTTTTCATAGTGCATATTCTTCATCTTTTTAATAAATGGCTACTTTTTGTTTTTAGCCTATTATCATCAAATATGTACTCATTAATGTCTTAAAATTTGATCTTTATTATTTGTCCTTATTTTGAATCAATCGAGTTAAATTACACAGCCTGTCATCAAAACAAGTAAAAATATAACTTAAAATTGCATATTTGGAAGACTATACTTCACTGAAAAAAATTGTGTCTGAAATATGTAGTATACCAGAAACACAGAATTTTCAGAGGATTCAGATATGAATTTATTTGTTGCAATCTTCTAATAAATTCTCCATAGCAGTTTGCCTCTTCTCATTCCAATTTTCTTACTATTTCTCTGTCACCACTATAAATATCACAATCACCTCTGACTTTACCCTCTCCCAATATTGACTATATAGTTTCTTTTGCATATATTGCCCACTGAAAGTACCTATTGGCCCAGACCTCATTCCTTCTCTAACTGATGTAATAGTTTTCAGCATTCTTTTCTGCCAGTCATAGAATTTTGGAGCTCAAAGGGACTCTACTTAGATGTGAAATACTTGGTCAGGCTTGGTGGCTCAGCCTGTAATCCCAGCACTTTGGGAGGTCAAGGTGAGTGGACTGCCTGAGCCCGCGGGTTTGAGACCCACCCAGGCAACTTGGAGAGACCTCGTCTCTACAATAAGTCAAAAATTAGCTAGGCGTGGTAGTGCGCGCCTGTAGTTCCGGCTACTTGGAAGGCTGAGGCGGAAGGATTGCCGCAGCCCAGCAGGTCAAAGCTGCAGTGGCCAAAAGCGTGCCACTGCACTCCAGTCTGGGCAACAGAATGAGACTCCAACTCAAAAAAAAAAAAGAAAAAAAGAAATGCAATGCTTGAAGCCATGATATCCTCTGCTTCCTGATCAGTCCTCCTCAAACAGCCTCTTATTGTGTTGTTCTCTGATCAAAATCTTCCCTGGGCTTACCACTACTACTGAGGATTGCCCAGATTCTTTTGTTGAGCATTTAAGGTGACCCATGCATTTTTTTTCAAGGCCTCACTGCTAATGTGGACTGCCTTCTCTCTGCTTTTCTGTATACCTCAAATATATCCAATCTTTCAAAGACCAGATCAGACTCCAAATAATCCATGAATTTTTCCTAAGTCTTCCAGTCTTAAATATCATTTGAATTCCCATAGCACTTTGTTGTATTTTCTTTCCCATTCTATTCACATCCTTGCTTATTTTAGAGTATATCAATGTCTTGTCTCTCTTACTACAACTGTATATCTCTTAATCGCAACAAAAATATATATTTAGATATCTCTTGATATATAAACCTAAAAAACTTCACAAGATAACTGTTCAACGAAATGTTCTCCAGGCTAAAATAATGGATAATAAGTTGCACACCAAAGGCAATTATAAAATAGAAAAACGAAGGGAAGGAACTGACTACACAAATTGATCCCCACACATCTGTGGTAAAACTACTACATGAATTACTGCAAAAACTAATGACTGTAGAGAGGACTACAACTAACAGACTGGGAATCCCAGTCTTGAAAGGGTTAAGCAGACCAGTCAAAGAGAAAAAATTATTCTTCATTTGCCTTCATTAAAGACTAATTTTAGGTCTTTGGGTAATTAAATGAGCACATTGTTTATGCTCCATACACTCTCAGTCTTGAGTCTTGGAAAATACATGAAATTTCCAAGAATTAAAGTTTCCATTAGTGCAAGTGCCAAAATCAGGAGACTTGACCTGTGGGAAAAAGCACATTTGTCTTTGTTGGCTACTTTTCAAAGAGCTATAGATATTTACTGTATAACCTTTCTCCTGCACAATTGCTCTGCTTTATCGTCAGACAACGTAGACAAGAGAAAGAAACTGCATCGTTTCAGAAAGTAACCTATTACTGAAGACCAATGGGCGTTTCAGTGCTAAAGTGTTTACAGCAGTCCCTGTTTGGGGTAAAATTTCTTCACTGGGAGCGAATGAGTGGTTTCTTTTTTCAATTTCTTTCTTTCATTTTGTGTGTGTGTGGTTGCTAGTTTTGGGGTGTGGGGGTGTGTGTGTGTGTGTGTGTGTGTGTGTGTGTGCGCGCGCGCGCGCAATTCCCTGAGAAGTGGCTTTGGGTGGTGAAGAAATAGTTTGCTATGATGGGTTTCAGGACACCGCCCACCTGCATCTTCCCCACAAGGCAGAAATTTAATGTAAATAATTGTGTGTACAGAGCCTGAACGCCTCGGAAGAATATTTTCTGATCTCTATATCTGGTTTTAGTCCATTTGAAGTAGCCCATTATCTCCCCAGATTACAATATAAAAATAAAAAATAAAAAATCTCTTTACGTCAGTGAACTTGGAAAGTTCTCTCCCCTGAGCAGAGAGCCTTTTAAAGCCTTGTGTGTCACGCGGGCGGCAGGGGGTCGCGGCTACTGGGAAGGGAGCTGACTCTACGGGTTCCGCCCTCCTCGGGTCGCCCCTCCCTTTGGCCTGCTCCGTACCCCGCGGGACTCGCCTGGGCCCTCACCCTCCTGCCCCCACCTCCGCGACATCGGCGGCCTCTGGGGTCTGGCGCGCGTCAAAGCTCTAACCCGGAGGCTGATTTGCGCAGCATCGTCCTCCTCCGCCATCCAGTCCCTCCTCCGCCCACTGCCACGGCCAAGGGAGTCGAGCCCAGCAGGGGGAGGGGAAGATCTACACCCATCCCCCTTCCTCTAGCCCTCCCCGCGTTGAGCTTCAATTGTACCTTCTATTATTTTAACTCTTCTGCTTAGGACAAGCAGCCCCCGAATCTGTCCCCGCGGCCTCGGCGGCCCCTGCTTCTGCGCGCCGGGATGGGTGAGCGGGGGACCTGCCCGCGGTCCCGCGTGTGCAAAGAGGCCACGCCGCCGCGCTCGCTGCCCGGAGTCTGTAAGTTTCAGCGCTCCTGGGGGAGGGGAGGGAAGGGAGTCCGCGTCCTCGTAAGTGGTTTAAAATGCAAAATACAGCAGAGGTGTCCCGTGCCGGATGCATTTTTCCGGGTACAGTCCCTGTTTAACTCCACCGCAGCCCGCGGGCTACTGTCCGGAGTTTTCCTGCACCTTATAGGTATTTTTCCTTCGTTTAAAAAAAAAAAAAAAAAGTTCACTGTATCATGTATTCCATGGGAAACTTTTTTTGCCTCCTTTTAAAAATGCGGCTCATAATTCCTTCAAATTTTAAATAATTCGATATTTTTAACACAGTATATCTCATTATTATTCTGTCAGATTATACTTATCGTGTTATTTATACTGCTCAAGGGGCCACGGCCTTTTCTTTGCTTACTGCTAAAAATAACGGAGGAAGAATGTCTCCTTTACTTTGAATATTGCCACATCATCTAAATGCTTTAAACAAGTAAGTAGATACGTTTTCAGTTGGCCTTAATTTTCATCATTGACGCCACGTGCTTGTATCCTTGCACATGTACAGACGCGGTTGTACGCAGAGAATTATCTTTGAGCCTGCTGTTTACAGGAGGTTCCTGTTTTGTTTAACTGAGGCTATGTCCTTACGTTTTCAGAATGATAGGAAAAATGAAAACAGTTCTGATTCAGAACAAATAATTTCTCCAGGATCCCAGAACTCCTGCACAAACTAGAGTCACGCTTGGATTAATGCAATCATACCTTTGGCTTTGCATGTCACCTCACGTGGTTAGACTATCCCTGAGTACAAGGACTAGAGAAGTGAGAATACGGAGTTAAAAAAAAAAAAAGAAGTTTATAATTAATATTTCCCTCGTGCAGGAGGACGGGTCTCGAAAGAAGGAGAGGCAGGTCAGGTAGATAGGCTGGCTATGGTGACGGGACGATGTTGGCCAGGAAGAGCATCATCCCGGAGGAGTATGTGCTGGCGCGCATCGCGGCAGAGAACCTGCGCAAACCGCGCATCCGAGACCGCCTCCCCAAAGCCCGCTTCATCGCCAAGAGCGGGGCCTGCAACCTGGCGCACAAGAACATCCGCGAGCAAGGACGCTTCCTGCAGGACATCTTCACCACCTTGGTGGACCTGAAATGGCGCCACACGCTGGTCATCTTCACCATGTCCTTCCTCTGCAGTTGGCTGCTCTTCGCTATCATGTGGTGGCTGGTGGCCTTTGCCCACGGGGACATCTATGCTTACATGGAGAAAAGTGGAATGGAGAAAAGTGGTTTGGAGTCCACTGTATGTGTGACTAATGTCAGGTAAGAACGCAATGGGATGAGGCAGGGGTTGGAAACAGTATGGAAAAATATAAATGCCCTTTCTCGTATCATTCTGTTACTTAGTTGAAAGTGAAAAAAAAAGATTGGTTTTAGAACCTTCGAAAATAACAAAGCCAAAAACAAACAAACAAACAAATAAACCAGCATATTAAACATCCTTTAAAATGCAACCTTACGGATGAAGAGTCTCTGAAAATATGGAACTTCAGTTATTTGGACCAGCCTTAAAAATATTATGCTAGTTACTTTTAAAATGTAGTTCAAAGGATTCCACAGAGTACCATACTCCAAAAAGCACACATTTAGTTTTCAGTATGAAAAACCTGCTGTCCATTGTCCCAATGTCCACAAGTAAATATCCCCAATCAACAAAAATATTGTACAAATGCTAGGAATATTTTTATGACTTCTCTTATCCATGACATTTTCAGAAATAGTAAGAATACTGAGAAGGCACTGGGGGCGGGGTGTCTTAGATTTAAAATCTACTAAAAATGAAATAAATAACATAGCTGATTGCATTGGATTCCAAAATCAAAAGTCATGCTAAGATTCAGAACTAGAAAACACTAATTTTTAATGGAAATTGGCCCAAAAGTTTCATGGAAGGGATCATGTAGAAGTAAGGAATTATATTGTGATCTTGTTCAAAGTTTTAATGAAATAGGAGCAAGCCAGTTCTTAGATTACCTAAATTTAGATTCTTTCTCATATATTTTAAGTATTTCAAGGATAGGTAGAGCGAATTTGATTTCAATGATTCTTCTCTCATACTTTCACATGGTCTAAAAACTTTTAGCTGCGTTGATTTGTTTTGTTGGAAGATGGAGAGTGATAATTTTTGTCAATTGGAAAAATGTTCACTCTGAAGCAAAACAATAGTAATAATACTAGAAAATTTTTTAGAACATTTTCTGAATAACATTCTAAATTCGCATAGCATGCAAAGCAAAGAAACTTGACAAAACACTTTACTGCCAGGAAACTACAAAGAATGAGATCTTTAGTAACCCTGAAATCTTAAGAAGTTAGCATATCAATGTAAGACGCAGACCCCAGACTATGAATTTGCCCACCCTTTCATTTGCTAAGTAACTGTAATGCCAGCCTTTCAAGTAGGGATGCAGCGTGGGTGTGGTGAGATCACACACCACAGATTTCACCTCTAATTTTGAGGAGTGAAACTATATTGAATTGCTCTGCTGGTTTTACCATTGAGTAAATATTATTTTCTTTTCTTGAACTTGTCACAAACTTTTGTCTCAAAGAAAATGTAGGAAAACAACGTAGGTCATTATCATCATCAGTACAGGAAATATAAAGGAAACAATTAAAATATTAAAATACCTATTAAATCTTAAATACTTTAAAATATCTATTTAAATATTTAATAAATATTTGGAGGTCAAATATTATCTATAATATTTCTCTTTAAGAAATAAATTGGCATTATATTTATCAATCATTTTTATATCAAAATAAATTTTTAATAAATATAAATTATGCAGTAGATACTGATAAAAAGATAAAAGAAATAATAAAGCTTGAAAATAAATAGCAGATTTTATTCACGAGACAAATGTATTGTCTTTTTCATGAAAAAGAAATTATTAAGCATTTTATGAAATATTTATCATTAAAAGTGATATCCTTTCAAATATTTTTTTAAAAAGAATTTTACAGGATGTACTGGTTAGTAAAAGCTATTTACTGGTTTTTTTTTTCCAAATAAGATATGTTCTGAAGCATATTCGTTTCCCTGCTGCATTCCTGCTGATATGAACATGGTGTCAAACATATAATGGGACCAAGTTAACTTTATTAACATAACAAGTCTAGCATTTTAAATTGCATTTCTTACTTAAAATTACTTGATAGTTTTTAAGATTCTGTTCTTACTGATTTTATTTTAATGTTATGGTACTATGTATACTTTAATCTCAACAAGGTTTAGTAATAACAAACCATATGTAATTTTAAAATTCCAATAAAAATATAGGAAAACCTTTATTCTCTTCCAATAGAAATTTAAAATATGACTAATAATAATTCTAATTATTTGCATTCCCTTTCTCTTCACAATTTCATTATGCAGTCATATCATCAAAATTGGAAACAACTTTTCAATGGATATTGACCAGTATATCCAAGTAGTATTTGACTATTCGCATTTTAAGACTCACTTTCCTCTTCACATAGATAATTTTTTAATATGAGTCTAAAAATAGACCAACATATTTCCCCTTTCTCATTATTATTCAGCCTCTCCCTCTCTTTAACAGAAAAAAACAGCTAAACACTTATCTCTTGAGATTATTTAGCGTGACAGGTGTCAATAAAAGGCTGGGTCTTGCATCATATATAATATTTAGAATTAAATTCTCTCATAAGATAAACAATATACAAAATATGGCACATGAATAGTCACTTAATCCCTTAAAACAAAACATTTGGTATACTCATCATCAGATTGCTCCCTGAAGTATAGATGCATTATCAGATATCAATGTTGCATTCATGCCCCTCCTTGGGGGTCCATTCTTATTGTTTGCCACTTATATCTTATTGTGTGTATCTTGTGCAAAAACCAATTATAGTAGATTTCTATGAATCATTTTAGCAACAAAGAAAAAAAGGCAAATTTTACACTGTACTTAAAAGCTAACCAAGAATAACTCACATATTCTTATTTACCCTTCACGGTTTGCTGCCAAAGTGCATTGTGTATACTAAGTATTCAAATATTTAAACATTCCAATCACTCATTGTCTGTGACATCAATAATAGATAAAACTTTGACAGATGGCCAATGCATGACTTGTCTTCTGTAAATTAGACAAGTTTGAAGTTGGGACTGGAGGCAAAGATAGACTAATATTGTTTCTATGAAGAAACCACAGCAGTACTGGATATGTAGTTGAGTGAATAGTAACCAAATGAGATACTTCTCAACCAGGGGGGTAAGTCATAATCACCTGAGAACTTTTCACATTCCATCCCAAACCTACCAAATCATTGTCTATTACTACGATGTGAAGGAGATATGCAATTTGAAAAAGCTTTCCAAGAAAATCTTGACACTTCTTGGTCCCTTCCTTTTGCCAGGCCAAGTTGAGAAATTCAGAGGACTAGGCCAAATTGAGGAGATTCAAGTTAGCATTAATTACAAGTATACTTTGGAGATATTGTGAGATATAGCAGTTTTCATTCCAGATCATCACAGTAATGCAAATATCACAATAAAGCTAGTCATACATTTTTTATTTTGGTTTCCTGATGCATATAACATTTATGTTTACTATATTGTAGTCTAGTAAATATGCAATTCCGGTACGTCTAAAAAAAGTAAATACCTTAATTTTAAAGTACTTTAATGCTAAAAAAGAAAAAACTAGTGACCATCAGAGCCTCCAGCGAGTCATGATCTTTTTGCCAGTGGTGAGTCTTGCCTCGATGTTGATGACTACTGACTGATCAGGTTGGTGGTTGCTGAAGGCGGAAGTGGCTGTGGCAATTTCTGAAAATAAAACAATGAAGTTTGCCACATCAATTGACTCTTCTTTTCATGAAAGATTTCTTTGTAGCACGCAATGCTGTTTAATAGTGTTTTACCCACAATAGAACTTCTTTCAAAACTTGATTCCATCTTCTCAAACCTTGCCATTACTTTATCAACTAAATTTATGTAATATTCTAAATCTTTTGTTATCATGTCAACAATGTTCAAAATATCTTCACCAGGAGTAGATTCCATCTCAAGAAACTTTCTCTGCTCCTCCGTAAGAAGCGACTCCTCATCTGTTCAAGTTCTATTATGAGATTGCAACAATCCAGTCAAATCTTCAGGCTCTATTTCTAGTTCTCTTGATATTTCCACCACATCTGAAGTTACTTCCTCCATTGAAGTCTTGAACCCCTCAGAGTGATCCATAAGGATTGGAATCATCTTCTCTCAAACTCATGTTAATGTTGATATTTCAACTTCCTGCCATTAATTATGAATGTTCTTAATGGCAGATAGAATAGTGAATCCTTTTGAGAAATTTTTCAACTTACTTTGCCCAAATCCATTGGAATCACTATCAGCCAAGCTCAGTGGCTCAGTCTGTGACTTTGGGAGGCCGAGGCAAGTGGGCCTGCGGGTTTGAGATCAGCCTGGGCAACTTGGTGAGACCTCCTCTCTACAATAAATAAATAAATAAATAAATAAATAAATGAATTAGGTGTGGTAGTGTGTGCCTATAGTTCCAGCTATTTGGAAGGCAAGTGGGCCTGCGGGTTTGAGATCAGCCTGGGAAACTTGGTGAGACCTCCTCTCTACAATAAATAAATAAATAAATAAATAAATAAATGAGTTAGGTGTGGTAGACCTCCTCTCTACAATAAATAAATAAATAAATAAATAAATAAATAAATAAATGAGTTAGGTGTGGTAGACCTCCTCTCTACAATAAATAAATAAATAAATAGAGTTAGGTGTGGTAGTGTGTGCCTATAGTTCCAGCTATTTGGAAGGCTGAGGTGGAAGGATCACCAGAGCCCACCCCAAAAAAGAAAAAGGAACCACTATCTATGACAGTTTTATGAAATGTATTTCTTCAGTCATAAGACTGGAAAGCTGAAATTACTCCTTGATCCATGAGCCACAGAATGGATGTTATGTTAGGAGGCATGAAAACAGCATTCATCTTCTATGTCTCCACCAAAGCTCTTGAGTAACTAGGTACATTGTCAATGAGAAGTAATAATTGAAAGGAATCTTGTCTTTTTGGTTTTTTTTCCTGAACATTGACTCTCTCAACAGTGGGCTTAAAATACTCAGTAAACTATCCTGTAAATTGATGCACTGTCATCAAGGTAATAGTGTTCCATTTACAGAGCTCAGGTAGAGTTGATTTAATATAATTCATAAAGGATTTAGGATTTTCAGAATGATAAATGAGCATTGGTGTCAATTTCGACTCACCAGCTGCATTAGCAGCTAATGAGAGTCAGCCTGTCCTTTGAAGCTTTGATGCCAGCATTGACTTCTCCTCTTCAGCTATGAAAGTCCTAGATAAGGATCTTCTTCCAATAGAAGGCTGTTTCATCTACACTGAAAATCGTTATCGAGTATAGCCACCTCTATAGGTTATCTTAGATCTTATGAATAAATTGCTGCGACTTCTACATCAGTGATTGCTGATTCATCTTGTGCTTTTATGTTCCAGAGATGGCTTCTTTCCTAAAGCCTCCCGAAACAACCGCTAGCAGCTTTAAACTTTTCTTCTGCAGCTTCTTCACCTCTCTCAGCCTTCATAGAAATGATAGGAGTTAGGACCTGGATTAGGTTTGGATTTAAGAGAATGTTGTGGCTGGTTTTATCTTCTATCCAGACCAGTCAAACTTTCTCTATTTCAGCAATAAGGTTGTTTTACTTTCTTATCATCAATGTCTTCACTGGAGTAGCACTTGGAATTTCCTTCAAGAACTTTTCCTTTGCATTCACAGCTTGGCTGTTGGGTTGGGTATAAGAGGTCTAACTTTTGGCCTATATTGGCTTTCCACATGCCTTCCTCACTAAAGTTAATCTTTTTATTTAAAATGCTTTTTATTTAAAATGAAAGATGAGCAATTATTACTTTCACTTGTAGGGTTATTAATTGACCTAATTTCAATATTGTTGTATCTCAGGGAGTAGGGAGATCCAAGGAGAGGGATAGATATAAGGGAACAACTGATCAGTAAAGAAGTCAGAACACATACTTTGTCAATTAAGTTCACCATCTTATATGGACACAGTTCATGGTGCCCCCAAACAATTACAATAGTAACATCAAATATCACTGACCATAGATCATCATAACAGATATAAGAATAATGGAAAAGTTTGAAATATTGTCAGAATTATCAAAATGTGACACAGAAACACAAAGTGAGCACATGCTGTTGAAAAAATAGTGCCAGTAGATTTGCTGGACACAAGGTTGCCACAAATCATCAATTTGTAAAAACACAGTAACTGCAAAGTACAATAAAGCAGAGTGGAATAAAAGAAGGTATACCTGTTCATGACCTTGATGCAGTCATTTATTAATCCCTCTCAAGTTCTTCCTTTAATAGCTTTAATATTCTCCAGATAACTTAGAGAACAAAATGAGATAACCAATAAGACACTTTTCAAGTGGAAAAAATGGTCATTTATTAAAAATATTAGTAGTTTAGAATGATGTGCTTTGTATCACTTTTTAGTTCTATGCTTTTTCTATATAATGTACCAAATAAGTGTTAGGTAACAAATACTGCTATAAAGATTATAGATAATAAAAGTTCACTAATTACTCAGTACTTTCCATGTGACTCAAATCTCCTAGACACATAGACAATAAATAATAAGCATCTACCTGGTAGAAAGCTTCATAAAGTAAACTGTGCCTTTGTGAAAGTACACAAAATAAAATATGCCTATAATTATAAATATGTATATTAATTATATTCATGCTTTCATACAATTAGACCTATCACTACATGACCTAGGAAATATTAATAGAATTATACCCAGTTAAATCACAGAAGTCTGGAAGTAGATGCCTGCAGAAGTGAGAGAACAAGAGAGAGGGAGACAGAGAGAGAGAGACTATTCTAAACACAGTTTGGAATAAGGCATTTTACAAGTTAATTTGGCTATTCTTTCCACAAGTATTCAATATTCTTTAAAGAAATAAATAGAAAAGTTCAGCTTAATATGTTGCTTTATTATTCACAATTTGACCTGATGACATTGTTTTCTCATATCATTCCTTACAGATCTTTCACCTCTGCTTTTCTCTTCTCCATTGAGGTTCAAGTGACCATTGGATTTGGAGGGAGAATGATGACAGAGGAATGCCCTCTGGCCATCACAGTTTTGATTCTCCAGAATATTGTGGGCTTGATCATCAATGCAGTCATGTTAGGCTGCATTTTCATGAAAACAGCTCAGGCTCACAGAAGGGCAGAAACTTTGATTTTCAGTCGCCATGCTGTGATTGCTGTCCGAAATGGCAAGTTATGCTTCATGTTCCGAGTGGGAGACCTGAGGAAAAGCATGATCATTAGTGCTTCAGTGCGCATCCAGGTGGTCAAGAAAACAACCACACCTGAAGGGGAGGTGGTGCCTATTCACCAACTGGACATTCCTGTTGATAACCCGATCGAGAGCAATAACATTTTTCTGGTGGCCCCTTTGATTATCTGCCATGTGATTGACAAGCGCAGCCCCCTGTATGATATCTCAGCAACTGACCTGGTCAACCAGGACTTGGAGGTCATAGTTATCCTGGAAGGGGTTGTTGAAACTACTGGCATTACTACACAAGCACGAACCTCCTACATCGCTGAGGAGATCCAATGGGGCCACCGCTTTGTGTCTATTGTGACCGAGGAGGAAGGAGTGTATTCTGTGGATTACTCCAAATTTGGCAACACTGTTAAAGTAGCTGCTCCACGTTGCAGCGCCCGAGAGCTGGATGAAAAGCCTTCCATTCTTATTCAGACCCTTCAAAAGAGTGAACTTTCCCATCAGAATTCCCTGAGGAAACGCAATTCCATGAGAAGAAACAATTCCATGAGGAGGAACAACTCTATCCGGAGGAATAACTCATCCCTCATTGTGCCAAAGGTGCAATTTATGACTCCAGAAGGAAATCAGAACACATCAGAATCATGACAGACAACTCCAAGACAGTCTTTGATCAAGTTTTGATAATTTATGCTGGTCACAGTCAGACTGAACCAGAGCTGGAACACATAATTTTTCCTTCTACATTTTATTACACCAGGTGATATTCATATTCAAGCAATAGCACTTTCTTTATCAATAAACAATGACACACAAAGTGGAGAATTCATGACTTGCACTTGTTTCATACATGCAGAATTTGCAGTGATATGCTTAAGTTATATATAAGGAGTGTACTCTCATTTCTCTCCATTTAAAACACAGAATTACATTAGTAGTAATAGACCTTGAACACAAAACTAGGCCAAGGAATGAATCTGTTTGAAATGCTTATTGGGTAAAACCACAAGTCTCTCTGTTACTGTTGTTTACTCTGGAAATGTAGAGCATAGGGGGGACAAACCAAAATCATGTTAACACCTTTTGTATATCAAACTTCTCCTTCCTTCATGATACTGCATTTGGTAGGAAGCCCAAGGCAAAAACTGGTTTAGATCTATCTGTTTGTAAGTGGATTCAATTCATTCACACGGTCCTTCATGACTTCCAGAGGTTTCCTATTCCTCCCCATGAAGCCTGTTGGGCAAAACTGGACAAGGAATCTTTCTATTAAAGCTAAGTCCTGTTGGTACTGAGTTTCCAACAGTGACAGTCACTTCTTTCAGCCTCTCACTTCTTAAGAGCCCCCACAGGGAGATACTGTATTGAATACTTTATTAAAACATTTTATTTGTACTCACCATAGTTTTATTATTCCTCATTCACAAAATCATTCTAGGTTAAAACTCAAGAGTTTTTGGAGGAATATGAAAGAGAAGTCAGTGATTACACTCATCTCTGAGATTCCTCTCAGATCTGTTTCTTCAAGAGAATTAGCTTTTTTGCTTGACTTGGCTTGTATAGGTTCAGCATTATCTCATTTGCTTAAGGGGAGTTTTCTATTAAAGCTTGATTTAATCATATTTAGTGCCTGATTATTCAGGGAAGGGGCGAATGAGTAGAGAGAAGTACTAGGTTAATACACTATGTATGGGTTTATTCTTATGTTTCATATGGCTAAACATTAGAAAACTGAGATATTGTATAGCTTTTTATAGAGATTTTGGGGTTTGCATTTATCTTATTTAATTTATTTACATTGAAACAGGAGGTAATCATAAATATGTTCAAATTCTATCTTAAACGAAAGTCATGGTTCTAACCAGGTGAATGGAAATCATTTACCAGGCTATTGAGTTACTTATTCCTGAAAAAGTTCTAATAGTAATTGTTCCTTTGAACTCTAAATTCATAGATCAAACAGGTACTTGAAGCTCCACTTGAATACTGAGTAAGCATTGAAACTTTTTGTATCTAAAACCAAATGCTCTATTTGCACTCACAAAATCTGACCCTCTTCCAGTCACTCAGACCAATACCTGGAATCATCCTTGATGCTTCTTTCATACCGAATGCCATCTATTAGCAGCATCTCTAGATATACCTAGAGCATGATCAATTCTCTCTACCCCCACCACTTCCTTCATAGTTCAAGCAGGGCTGGTCATCACTGATTATATATAGATACAGCAGTACCAATTGTCTGAATATTGAAACACTTCCTTATGTAATAAGAAAATCTATTGTAAAACTTAGTCTAACAGTGACTACAGAGGTGGACATCAGACCTCCTAGCTGTTCTGGAACAAATTGAGTTCCTACCTCCTGGCTAGAGCAGACCCAGAGGCAGTTACCACACCAGCAATAAGAAGTATAGCGCCTGCCTTGCTCAACATTTGTGGAGGTGACATGAATTGTGGGGCAGGTGATGTTGAAGCTAATCAGTGGGGCTGAGATACGGAATTTCTGAGTTCAGGGCAAAGCTAGCTAGAGCACAGGCAGTTCCCCTAGCTACCTTCCAGCTGCAACCAAATGCTCGGTGCCAAGGACCAAAGACCAGCAATTTAATGGAGTAGTCAATGGAAAAGTTTGATACGGCTTGCTATGTCAGGTCATGGCTTAGACAGAGACATCAAGCAAAAGATCACATCAATTTCTAAAAACCTGCAAATGTTTTAGAGAGTATTAAACTGAGTGTATGACCTATTTTTACTAAAATATATTTTTCCTCACTATTAAGCAATTTTGAGAACTGTATAGTTTACTTTTGAAAATAAGACTGATTCTCTCTCTGTATATCTTTCACTTTTTCTCATATATATATGAGCTTGACATCTATTGAATTTAAATATTATTTTATATTCAATATTGTGGTTCTCTGCTTCCACCCTAGTCTTCACACATCAGCCATGGTATTGTTTTAAATAATAAATCAATTATATCACACATCTTCTTAAAACCTTTCTCTGGCTTCTTATTTTTCTCAAAATGAACACCAAAATCCTTTCCAAGGCCCACAGACCACTACATCTCATTATTACCACTCTTTCTCTCAATAATTCCCACGCTTTACCCTACAGGCCTTTCTGTTATTTGAAGCAGAGACACGAGGACGCTTGCATTATGGGTTTGCGTCTACCTGGAACATTTTCTTCCAGAAAGTTTCATTGTTCTCTTCTGTCATTATTTAGGTCTCTGCTCAAATATAGTTACGAAAACAGACTACAGCCAGACTCCCCAAGTTTAAACTTCAATTTTAACATTTAGCATCTATAAGGTCTTAATAAAAGTAACTTATTTGTGCCTCAGTTTCTCCATATATGAAATTAGTATGATTATAATATTTACTTACAAGCTTGTTGTGAGGATTGAGTGTACATATACAAAAGGTTTGATTCATTGGCCCAGTACAATCACTTGAAATTAAGGACTGCCTGGAAACGAATTGACTTCTTGCTCTCTAGGACGGAAATAAAAGACCTTTGCAACATGAAACTAATCTCTTAAAACCTCTGTAGCAGAGACCCTTTATCTGCCCCTTTCAGTTGCTTTCTTGATTCTTTGACACCTACCTTCTGCCTGTCTTCAAATATTGTCATGTGTAAAATCCAACAATGTGTAAAGGATGACATTTTGCATTCAGAAATTGTTGGTTTCATATGTCTGTCATTTATTTATTCATCTAGTAGTATATATTGAAAATCTGCCATGTCTTACCTTACCAACTGGCAAAAATAATGAGGTGTGTCTATTTTTTCTAAGGAGGAGTAGAAATTAATAGCCAGGGTATGTGCCCATTCTGTTCCTAAGTAATCAGAGATGGTACATATTGGCTGAGAAAAACTGAATTACATGCCAGAACAGCAGAAGTGACACATCCATCCAAAATCAAAATCAAAATCTACCCCTAGTTACTGAGCAGGTGTGGTATGACAGCAGAAAACCCAGAACTGCTGCACATACAGGTTTGCCGGGAACTGGGTAAGAAAATATAACACTGATTGTCCTTAGAATGACCATTTTTCTCTGCTTTACTTTATCCCCATACCGTTGTTTTATTCTACAATTCCTCATTATTTGCCACTTAGCTCAAGATTCTCTGTAGGTGAAAATCTTATTATCCATGCTCTCAGACATTTCCAAATATTCCTGACCAAGTGTTCTGACACATTAAGGATGTCTCAGAACTGACAATTTCCCAGTGGCTTAAATAATTGACTTTGTCTCCCAAAGAAAATCTAACTCCCAGCGAAGAAGTTAGTCAGTCAACATAGAGTGGCATTTTCCCTTCCTATAGTTGGATTCATTTTGTTGCTGTTGTTGTTGTTGTTTAGCTAGTTGGCATTCATGGAGCAAGAAGTTTCCTGTTTGGTAATAAAGCAACCATAGATAAAGAAGAAAGAATGAAAAGATATCTACATCTCTCAGGGCTCCCACCTCTAACTTTTGTTATTTTCAGTATGTGGAAGGTAGAGATAGAACTGAAACTAATGTCTCCAAGGACCAGTGCATTAAAGTAACCATAACAAATCCTACAGGCTGTTTAAGAGGAAACCCAAGGGCCATGCTCTTCCCATGATCTTTATACACAATTCTCATCAATAGTGATGGGAATTTCCCCACAGACCTAGGATAGACGTGACTCTGATTACACCCTAGGATGATTTATTGCACAGATTCAAGTTTAAGTTCATGAAAACTTTTATCGGTCTTTAATTTTAGATCAAAATATCACATCAGAGCCCAATTTCATTTTAGGCTGTTTACATCCTCACGAATACTCTTTTTTCAAGAGGCATTCCCGTTCTCATGAAGATTTTCTTGGCTGTACCTTGTGGTACCCCTCCCTGGGGTAATTGAAACAAAACTATTGCCTTACACTGAGTTTATTTTAATTACTTGAAGAAACAAAAATATAAAGGCTTGGATTTCCACATACTACTGGATTACTTCAGTGTGTATTGAAAAGGTAGAAAATAAACCCATTTTCTGTAAAATTGAAGTTAAGATATAGCATTTCTCACTGAAACTATACAGATTTACATATTTTTCAAAGGCTTCAATTATTTGCCACTGACTGTTGAAGAAAGTTCACATTCTTTAAGTATGATAGTCAAGGCTCTTTGTAACTTGATTCCAACATACCTTTCTAGCTTCTTTTTCTAACCCCACCCCCCAATACCTTAGCTCATTGAATACTTCATGTACATTAAGGTCTACACATCACTTGAAAATTCTGGGCTTTCCCTATCTACCAAAGCTGCTGTTTTTCACAAAGCTTTCTCAAATCCTCCACTTAAATTACTCCCTCTTTATCCCCACAATGTGTACCTCTATTTATTGTTACATGGGTACCAATAAATGGCATTATATAATTTTTACTGTCATAACATTTCTCTCCATTCAATTGTTAGTTTTTCCCCTTACAGTGCTTTCCTAAAATAAATGGTGATACTAGCCTGATAATTATCCCTTGAAAATCCATTCTACCCTTTTCTTCATCAAAACTGAATTTTAACTGAGCATATGACCATTCGGCTAGAGACAGTATAATCCCAAGCCACTGTTAGTTAGTTGTGCCCATGTGCCTAATTTTGGGTCAATGGCCTGTGAACAGAAGCAAATGAACTAATTCTTTATTTTAAAAACCATGAGCTGATGTGTCTCTTCCTTTTTCCCTTCTCATGGACTGGGCACATACGTAATGGAAATTCAGCTTTGACCCAGGTAATGAAGACAAAAACCTATGGAGCAAAAAGATGGAAGTAACCTCATACAACAAATCACATAATGCAGTAGAGTCACACCAGCCTGGGCTGCCTAATTCTAGACAGCTACATAAAAGAAAAATACACATCTACTTTGGGGGGGAGATAGGAGGACTTTGTTTTTTGATTACTGTTTTTTTTCTATAATACAGTTTAGGCTTTATCCTGATTAATACAAGCTAAATTAGATCAGGTGGAAAGGGAATTCACACAGTGGCCAAAAATATTTGCAATTTCATATCACTAGAAAACTGTGAGTCTGAGTAGGATTTCTAGCTCAAAATGGTAAGCTATGCCTTTAGCTAACCCCCTTGTCTTTGAAATAACCAAACAAAATTATTTTTATGTTTTTTTATGCTTATTTTTACATTATTATTTATTTATTTATTTTTCTATTGTGGGGTACAGTTGAGGATTAGGTATACAAATATGCTCCATCAGGCACCCTTGTTGATAAGAGGTGTCTCTCCGTCCCCAGACAGATATTTACTACTGTTAATCCCATCTTCCTTCCCCTCCCACCCCCATAGTTTCCCACCACTGTCAGTCATTTTCTTATAGTATTACGTTGGATGTTCAAGGTCCACT